CAGCAGCCAATCAGATCCCTCCTCAGTGTGTTGGCATGGTGACAGAGGTTAGAGGGTTCACTGACCCACAGAAGGAGGAGTACTTCAGGAAGAGATTCAGAGATGAGGAGAAGGCCAGCAGGATCATCTCCCACATCAAGACATCTAGAAGTGTCCAGATAATGTGCCACATCCCGGTGTTCTGCTGGATCTCTGCTACGGTTCTGGAGGATCTGTTAAAGACACAGAACCATGGAGAGCTGCCCAGCACCCTGACTGAGATGTACATCCACTTCCTGGTGGTTCAGACCAAAGTGAAGAAGGTTATGTATGATGGAGGAGATGAGACAGATCCACCCTGGAATCCAGAGAGCCGCGAGATGATCGAGTCTCTGGGAAAACTGGCTTTTGATCAGCTGCAGAAAGAAAACCTGATCTTCTATGAATCAGACCTGACAGATTGTGGCATCGATATCAGAGCAGCCTCAGTTTACTCAGGAGTGTTCACACAGATCTTTAGAGAGGAGAAAGGGCTGTACCAGCAGAAGGTGTTCTGCTTCGTCCATCTGAGTGTTCAGGAGTTTCTGGCTGCTCTTCACGTCCATCTGACCTTCATCAAATATGGACGTAATCTGATGAAAGAACAAACAAACACTCCCATTAGGTTTAAACGATCTAAGCGGGCGAATCGAAAAAGTCTGTATCAGAATGCTGTTGATCAGGCCTTACAGAGTCCAAATGGACACCTGGACTTGTTCCTCCGCTTCCTCCTTGGTCTTTCACTGCCGACCAATCAGAGACTCCTACAAGGCCTGCTGACAAAGACAGCTGGTAGCTCACTGAGCAGTCAAGGAATAGTTCAGTACATTAAAGACAAGATTAATAAGAATCTATCTGCAGAGAAAAGCATCAACCTGTTCCACTGTCTGAATGAACTGAATGATCGTTCTCTGGTCAAGGAGATCCAACAGTCTCTGAGATCAGGAAGTCTTTCCACAGATAAACTGTCTCCTGCTCAGTGGTCAGCTCTGGCCTTCATCTTAGTGACATCAGGAGAAGATCTGGATGTGTTTGACCTGAAGAAATACTCTGCTTCAGAGGAGGCTCTTCTCAGGCTGCTGCCAGTGGTCAAAGCTTCCAACAAAGTTCTGTAAGTACAGAGAGCTTTGATTTTGATGTGGGGAGAGCATTCACCACTCTGCTCTCTCATTATGCTACTTGATTGTAATGAGGTGTTATACAGCAGCACCACATGGAGAGAGCAGTGCGGCAACTGGAAGATGGTTTTGACCTCTCAAAGCAGATAAAGCAGCCGATTTCAATACAACAGACAAAAAGAAGGTTTTAATACAACAAATAAACCAATTTTAATACAACAGACTAAGAAGATGGTTTTATTACAACAGATGAAAAAGATGGTTTTATTACAGCAGATCAATGCTGGCGGGCAGGTTAGAGAACTGGCTACAACTTAAAGTAGCACAAGTAACCTGAAACACCTGGAGAGAGTTGCTCCCCTGATGGGAGCAACTCTAAACAACAAAAGTTGGATTTTTCTAGACATGGGGTCTGTTTCACAAGTTTTTAGTTTCACAAAGAGGGTTTCTTCAACCTCTGTTTCAGTTACTGTAGTAACATTCTCCCAGAGTTAACCTGGTCAGCAGCAGGTTTTCTTCAGTAAACTCAGAGTATCCTCCGTCTCCGCTCTCCTTACAGACAATCACACTTTTACTTCTTGATTTTTTCAGATTTTTGTCATTTTGGGCATAGATAATGCCTTTTGGTTTAAAAAAAACAACAACACTGCATGTCTGTTTGACAAGGATCTTATTAAAGAATGAGCGGCATTAATTCACAGAGTATTAAATATTTATAGGGAGATGATTGTACAACTCAGTGAAAGGGTATGAGATTTATTTGTTTTTAGTTTGTTTAATATGAGCAAGATGTGGATAATTGTATTTTTTATTTATTTCTACAGTACAAGAAGAACTACTGAAATTATTGTCAGGTTACACAAAAATAGATTAATTAATTCCATGGGGGTAAAAGGAACAACCTCAGAGTTATGATTTGGATTAATTCATTGATAACCTACTAAACGTACTGGTACAATTTGAAGCCATTCTATGGGACTGATAACCGCTAATAACAACCATTTATTGGGATGATAACATCTGAAGCGGCTGCAAGCAACCACTTAGTATTTATTGTGTCAAAGATGAAAGAAAACAATGAGGTTCCATCTATTAGAACAATGTTTTTATTCTTCAATAAATGGTAGCCATTTAGAGTGGAATTTGTTCAAGTTTCAGGTTTTTGTGTATCTAATTTTCTCCACTTTCAAAAGGGATATGACCTAATTTATCCTGTTTGTGGTGGATGGGGCTATAGTTGATTTCCATTTAAAGAGAAGGTGGTGCCTTGCGATCAAGGAGGTAAAGCTATCACTTCCAACTCTCTTTCAGAGTATTGACTATATTGCTCTGGGAGAACAAAGATACCAGTGTGAGCCAAAGTATTAATAGTTATTGAAAGTACAATAGACATGGTATGAAAATAAGTTAGCAAGAAATTTGTGAGGGGTGAGCAGGTGAGAAACATATGTGCTAGATTGCAGGGTGAGTTTCTGCATCTACTAGGAGAGGAGAACTGTGCCAGTCTAGTTTTTGAATAATGTCAAAGCTGCCTCATACCAGTGCTCCTCAAACACAAACCCCAGTTTATGCTGCCAAGCTCTCTCAGTGTTCGTAGTTGGAAAGAGATCAAATGACTAAATCGAGTTACATATCTTTGAAATTAAAGACCTTTGCAAGGGATTGAGTTGTATAAGTTCACCCCACGATTGTTCAGGTAACAGGTGAGGGAAATTGGGAAATAGGGATTTTGTTCAAGTCCTTATCTGGAAATATCTAAATAGATGGGTGGGTGGGAGATCAATTTCAGAAGCCAAATCAGTGAAAAAGCAAAACCAGTCTTCACAATAAAATCCTTGAAACATTTTAGTCCCCTGTTATGCCACATAGAGAAGGTTGGGTCGGTAAGTGCGGATGTAAACTCTGGGTTTTTTAAAAGTGGGGTTTGGACAATGGGGCCTGTAAATTTAAAATGTTTTCTAAATTGAAACCATATTCTCAAAGTATCTACAACTATGGAATTGTTGGTTTGGCTAGAGGGATTTAAAGAAGTTGGACCTGTAAGAAGAGCCAAAAGTGAGGCTGAGAAACATGAATGTGCTTCTAGCTGACACTAGAAGCTGAGGGACCATTTTTGAAAGTCTCTTTTAATGTCTACAAAGAGTGGAAGGACATTTTTAGAGTACAAAGACTTAAAAGATCTGGTTATGTTGACTTACATATAGTGAAAACCCAAAGGGCACAGCTTGAAAGGGACATCATATTGAGAGAGCTCCAGTGCCAAATGGTTGAGAGGATAACATTCACTATTGGAGACATTAACTTTAACTCCATTCTACCCGATCAAACGCTTTTTCAGCATCGATTGATATGACTACCTCAGGCGCAGCTGTTGTCTCCCTTGAATAAATGGCATTTAACAAGGTACGGACATTGTAATAGAGTTGACACCCCTTTATGAAGCCAGACTGTTCTTTGGAGATAATTGTTAGGAGAACTCGATTGAGTCTCTGGGCCAGAGCCTTTGCGAGAATTTTTGTGACCATGTTCATTAAAGAAATCGGCCTATAAGAAGTACAGAGGTCTGGATCTTTGTCCTTCAAGAGAACACTGATAGAAGCTTGTCTTAGGTTGGTGAGAGTTCACATTTATAAAGGGAGTCATAGAAAGATGAAAAACTAAATTAATAGCTTGCAAGTCCTCTTGCAGAGCCCCAAAACTATCTTTAATGTGAGGTTTTAAATGTGAAGCGGCTTGACGACGTAATTGGTGAGCTAGCAACCTGCTAGACTTGCTGCCATATTCGTAGTACCTAGCGTGAGATTGAAGCAAAAGGCGCTCCGCCTCATTAGTTGTGATAAGGTCCAACTCGATTTGTAAGACCAAGCAATGTTTAGATGACTGTCGGTTGGGGTGGATGCAAGTTGGTGGTCAACCAATTCCAACTGAGAAATAAGCTTCTGAATGTTTGACCTTCTTAGTTTTCTCACGTGCCACATACAAAATTATCTGACCACGTAATATGCCTTTAAAGAATCCCATAGGAGTGCTCTAGAGACTGGTTCAGATTCAGTCATTAAGGGTAATGAAATCCTCTATTTTGTCCATAATAAATTTGTGAAATTTACCATCTGATAATAGTGAAGTGTTAAATCGCCATTGAGAGGGATAGCAAGGTCTGGGCGAAATCTGAAGATCGAGAGAGACAGACATGATCTGAAATAATGATTTGGTGATATGTAACATTTGATACTTTAAGCATTAGTTTAGCATCTACTAAAAAATAATCTATATGTGAAAACGTCTGGCTTTTCCAGGCTGAAGGCGTATCTTAGCAGGGTGGAAATCGTGTCTGCGGTGACTGGGTTACGCTCCTCCTGTAGTCCTATGATTCTAATTTTGTTATGCCGAGATCTTGATTCCAACTCGCATTTACAGTCAAGAACGAGGACCTGTGCCGAAAGCTTATCCAAATTGCTCTTGAGTGAGACCACATCCTCAGTGCATGAAGACAGCGATCCCTCCATGTCTGCAACAGTCGCCCTTAGTGCATCCACCTCCGACCTGATAGGCGAAATGCTAGCACTTAGTTCTGTCTTCACACCGTGCAGCTATGATTCAATCTGAGTCAAATCGTTAGTTAACGCTGTCTCCAATTCAGTCTTGAAAATGACCACCATCTCTGCACAAAGTGCAGTAAGAAGTTCGGTTTTAAAGTCTGGGGGAAAAACATTACAGGCTGTGGAAAATTCTTCCAAAGACAGCCTCCCAGCAGCCAAGTCCTGTGGTGGATCGGTCCCAGCAGGCCGATGGCGGGGATGCAGGCAGTGGGCCAGGCCTCGCCACTGTATTTGAATTATTTGTATTTTTGGGTTTTGGAGGCATATTAGGCTGTAGTAGAGTTGTTGTAAGTTTTAGACGACAGGCAAACTGCACAAAAATGCTTAAATGCACCTTGTAAAAAAGATAACTTGCAGGAGCTACCTCCACCACATCTTACTCCATTAGTCACAAAACAGGAAGACCCCACAGGCCAGATTCAAACCCCGGTCGAACCCTGGTCGCCTGTGTCAAAGACTAAGATCTCCATACATGGGTCGTATCTGCTAACCACTGTGCCAATGAAGCACACCCGGCAAGCAATTTTGATACGCTTCTGTTTTACTGAATATGTATTCTTGACATCTAAAATACAAATTTTTACTTGTCAAAATGACCATTTCAAACAAAATGACATTCTTCACATCTAGAATAAATATCCTGGAAATTAACTATAGATCTACATATTTCTATGGTTACTCGTATATTTGAGCTATGGATAAAAATATTTTAGATATCATAAATACATATTCAGTCCATCCATCAGCCATCCTTCTTCTTCTTCTTATCCACACGTCCCTCTCCCCGGCCACTTGGACCAGCTCCTCCGGGGGAATCCCAAGGTGCTCCCAGGCCAGCTGATAAACATAGTCCCTCCAGCGTGTCCTGGGTCTCCCCATGGGCCTCCCGCTGAGACGTGCGTGGAACACCTCACCAGGGAGACATCCAGGAGGCGTCCTAATCAGATGCCCGAGCCACCTCAACTGGCTCCTCTCGATGTGGAGGAGCAGCGGCTCTACTCTGAGTCCTCCCCGGATGACTGAGCTCCTCCCCCTATCTCTAAGGGAGAGCCCAGACACACTACGGACAAACTCATTTCAGCCACTTGTATCCGGGATCTCATTCTTTTGGTCATGACCCAAAGCTCATGACCATAGATGAGGGTAGGAACGTAGATCAACCGGCAAATCAAGAGCCTTGCTTTTTGGCTCAGCTCTCTCTGAACCACAACAGACCGGTACAGCGCCCGCTTCACAGCAGACGCCGCACCAATCCGCCTATCGATCTCCCGCTCTATCTTCCCATTATTCGTTAAAAAGACCCCAAGATACTTAAACTCCTCCACTAGGGGCAGTACATTCTCCCCAACCCGGAGAGGGCACTCTACTCCCATGCACCCTCCAGAATCCTGCTAAGGGTGTATAGCTGATCCAGTGTTCCGCGGCCAGGACGAAAACCACACTGCTCCTCCTGAATCAGAGATTTGACTATCCGACATACCCTCCTTTCCAGAGCCCCGGAATAGACCTTACCAGGTAGGCTTAAGAGTGTGATTCCTCTATAGTTGGAACACACCCTCCGGTCCCCTTTTTTAAATAGAGGGACCACCACCCCAATCTGCCAATCCAGGGGAACTGCCCCTGATGTCCACGCAATGTTGCAGAGTTGCGTTAACCAAGACAGTCCCACAAGATCTAGAGCCTTAAGGTACTCAGGGCAAATCTCATCCACCCCTGGGCCCTTGCCGCCGAGGAGCTTTTTAACCACCTCAGTGACTTCAGCACCAAAGATGCAAGCACCTGACCCAGAGCCCCCAGGCTCTGCTTCCTCAATGGAAGACGTGTTGGTGGGATTAAGGAGGTCTTCGAAGTACTCCGCCCACCGACATACGATGTCGAGGTCAGCCTCACACCACCCCCACCATAAATATTAGTGGTACTGCACTGCTTCCCCCTCCTGAGATGCCAGATTGTGGAACAGAATCGCTTTGAAGCCATACGGAAGTATTTCTCCATGGCCTCTCCGAACTCTTCCCACGCCCGGGTATTTGCCTCAACGACCAGCCGAGCCACCCGCCACTTTGACTGCTGGTACATGTCAGCTGCTTCTGGAGTCCCACAGGTCAATAAAGCCCGATAAGACTCCTCCTTCAGCTTGACAGCTTCCCTCACTGCTGGTGTCCTCCAGCGTGTTTGAGGGTTGCTGCCATGACATGCACCGACAACCTTGCAGCCACAGCTCCGACTAGCCGCCTCAACAATAGAGACATGGAACATGGTCTACTCAGACTCAATGTCCTCCACCTCCCTTGGTACGTGTTAAAAGCTCTGCTGGAGATAGGAGGTAAAGCTCCTTCTCACGGGGGACTCTGCCAGGTGTTCCCAGCAGACCCTCAAAATACGTTTCGGCTTACCAGGTCTGACCGGCGTCCTCCCCCACCATCGGAGCCAACTCACCAACAGGTATTGGTCAGTGGAGAGCTCTGCCCCTCTCTTCACCCGAGTGTCCAAGACATACGGCCAAAGGTCAGATGAAACAACAACAAAGTCAATTATTGAACTATAGCCTAGGGTGTCCTGGTGCCAAGAGCACATATGGACACTATTATGCCTGAACATGGTGTTTGTTATGGACAATCCACGAAGAGCACAGAAGTTGTGCTTGTCATGGATTGTCATATTCAGTCAAGCTGATAAATGTAGAAAACGGCCACTTAAAACATGTAAACAGTACTAGATATGTAAAACTTAAATCTTACTAGTATAATTTGGTTTTCTTTAATTTCTGAAATTAAGTTTCTGCTGCAAAAATGTAATTCAGAAAATATTTTACTATAGTTCAGCCTAGAAGTGTGATTTTGATCAAAAGGAATCTAACTTCAGTGATCTACTAATGGAACAACCGAGAAGAGAGTGAAATTACACCAATGTGTAACTTGTGCTTCTAAGCAGTCAACAATCAATTGCCATGAGATTTTTTTTCCCTCTTTGCACTTCTGTAAGATGAGTTTTTGTTTCTTACAGAAGAAATACAGCATTTTCCCTTCTGTGCCAATGACTGTGATTGGTCTGCTACCTTGAACCCACCCCTTTTTTCAACAAGTTGTAGATGTTATTACCTGTATGTTTTGTGTTGGATCTGGAAAAGTCTTGGACTGAAGGCACTCTGACGTTTAACAGCCTTCGGAAGAGGATCCTCACTGTTGTCCATAATGTTCTTTATTTTAGGAAGGATTCTTCATATAATCATCTTCACGGGTTCTAGAGGAGTTCCTAAAACTGCAGAATAATGGCTAAAAAATGGTTGCTCAAGAGGCTTTTCTTGTTGGCAGCAATAAAGCATTCCATATTGCAGCTCAATCTGTACAAATTAAGGTGTCATTATAAGTTTGAGGTCACAGGACATATAAATTTGTCTATTTTCTA